CTCCCCCTCCCCTCTCTCTCTCTTAGTGTCCCTCCATTAATGGAGGTTGGCCGTCAGCTCAGCGAACTTTTCCCGGTCTTGCCAGGCGAAATAGGTGTTCTACGCTGGCTTGTATTAGTGTAGATATCTAAAATCTATATTGGCGCTGTAATAATTGGGTATACAATAAAAAAACCTATCCTATATAAAATGGATATCTGAATAAAATTACCCTGATTTTCGTACAGATTTTATCGTAACACTACTAAAGCCCGTTACACACGTTAGATTTATCTAAACGAACCGAGACTGTTCATATAAAACTGAGCGTGTGTAGCGGGCTTTATTAATTTTCGCATAATATTGTGCTAGAACATTTTTTCGATTGTTTTTATGCTTTTTACAAAGGTATTTTTAAAGTTTTTTTTTTCTCCCTACCTTTAGACCTTGTGATATTGTGCGTAGTATTTTGCGCAAAAAATCTCTTTAATTATTAGTAGCTTATATTAAATGTTTTTGGATTTTTTATTAACCTTATTTGTGTTCGGACTGCAATCTTGAGAACTTTTAGTATAAATTTTATATTATGCCAAATGACACGTTATTTTCTGTTTAATGGATTATTTATTAAAAAAAAATATATTGACAATATTGATCAGAAATGTTCAAAGGATACTTTACTAAGCAGAAGTGACACAATCAAAAATATTCCTAACTGTTTGACAATAAAGCTTGAATTTCATTGAATAATAATATAATTTAAACTCATTTATTTCTCAAGATCGCCATACGTGAGTCGGTAGCCCCAAGGTCTTTTAATATTCAGATGATTAAGTGAAAGCAGAGAGATTTGCAATTTACCAGTTTTCTGCCTAACATGTGCCCGCGTTTTAGAGGCTTTGTTTGTCAGATGTTTTATGGTTTCTGCAAATACCAAATATGCTACAATACTGGGCCATTTATTTTAACATAACTTGTTTTTTAATTGTTTTTTTACTTTTTTCTTTACAGTTTTAACAAGTCAACTTTACTAACAGATTAAATTTGTTTTTTAACATTAATCACATTCCTTCTACCTTTTCATGTATCATAGAAATTAATTAAAAACAAATATTATATATCAACGTAAAGTCAAAACGTTCCTTTCCCATTAACTCTACATTTGCCTTTTTGTAAACAAATTCTATCAACTTCAATTTCCATAGCAAACATTTATGTTTACCTACTCTCTGTCAATATTTGCATTTGATTAAGAATTCACGATCAATTAACTCATCTATATTATCGTTTATCTTTGACATTTCAAGTCGTTTGACTAGGCTTTGATGAGTGGCAACAGTCCGGTTTTACCATCCACCTCGGTCACACGTCACAATGTCAGTCTTACAGATCCTGCTCTTGTTTGCATCAACCGCGATCGTATCTACACGCAATGTTTACGAAGTGACCACTAGTTATAAATACATACAAAGTGAACCTTATGGTAATGAACATAAAACTCTAAGTGAAACAAACGAAAATCGTGAAAAATTTAATTACGATTGTGAAACTGAAGTAAAAAGAGATCACACACAAGATGACAATCATAACCATAAAGATTCAAACGGTCCTGTATTTACAAATGTTAACCGGCATCAATACAATATAAACGTAAAGTATATTAAAAAATTAGATGCAGGTATTGATCCTGATTTTATAATATTCCAAGACAACGAAGATCACCGAAGACCTCCATACACGAATAAAAAGCCAGAAAACAATACTAAATACGCAATAACAGTCAATACTGAAATACCTACAAGGAAAGGTCCTTCGAAAGTGGACACACGCGGAAGTACAAAACATTACACAGAGTCGTTTACGACAGACAGGCCTAGAACTTCAACCAATATTTATAATAATAAAACGTATGTATCAAATGCGGGTAATACTGTAAATGATACACAAGTGACAATGGGAATTGACATTGATGACAGAATTGCATTTGATGGTGATAAATGTGCGACAGGTCAAGCGAAAGTGCAAGGAAAGTGCGTTCCCATACAGCATTAAACAAAATGTACAACAACAAACAGTGTTTGAGACAATTGTTTCATTAAAATTATTTATAAATTATGTTGTTATATGTTTTACGTGTAAATTAGTGTAAGTACATGTGTAGTTATATTTTAAAAAAATTGTGACGCTTTTGAAAACAGCCGTCTATTCGAAACAATAAAATTGTACAATAAATGTTTTAAAACACATTTACGAATGATTAAGTAAAATTTTATATTAATATGATACTAGTTGGATCTCTTGCTTCTTGCCGCGTTGTTTATTTGTGTTTTGTTTTAGAATAAATGACTTATTATAATATACTAGCTGTTCCCGTGCGACTTCATCCGCATTCAATTATGAAAATTTTATTTCATTGTTCATACGTCTCAAATTAAAAATTTCAAAATGACATGATATGATGGCAGCCTTCCTTCCTTGGTGTTGGCAGCAACTTATGGTATCTTTCTCACATTAGGGTTTTTATCCAAAATGTTAACCCCCTAAGTTAAATGGCATGAAAATTTATAACCTAAAGCATGACGTAAGTGAAGGGCTTTTTATTAAAAGAAGAGTTATTCAAAAATATGCTGTAATTGCTGACATCTTAGACAACAAAGAAGTGTGTGTTTACGCTTTATTATAATAGTATAAATAGTACAAAATGAGTTATGAGATTTCGACCGATGCCGTCATTAATCAATTGTAACAACATAGTCAACACTTTTCGGTTGCAACGTTTATTATTTCTCCTTACACATAATTTATGTTTCAATTAAACATTTCCATTTGAAAAATAATTAAGATAAAACGTAATTGTGATTATAAATAACCGGTTTAATATTGGAATATTTATAACTATATTCGAACAACAAACCCACAAACAAAGTTATATAAACTACCATAAATTTCAGTAAATTATGCACGTAATGCAATAAAACGATTGACTCATTGCACTTGCTATCAATTATTATTTATCTGTTGTTAATCTTTATGTGATGTTAAAATATAAACAAACATAATTGATGTTTTAGTTACTCCTTACTTCTCTTTACTTATCAATATTAATTATAATTAGTAGCTATAGAAATTATTACGTCTTTGTAAATATTACAAGATCTATAATATAAATTTGCTTAATTACAGTATTATTTAAAAAAAATCGATTTAAAAAAAACATGCAGACGAATTGAGTATCTCCTTCTTTTGAGAAGTCGGTCAATAACGAAAATACAATTTTGAATCTCCGGAACGGGGTACACCGGTAGAGGTAGAACTAGAAAATCATGGATTGTGTGAAAGGTGACATGATCAAGAAGGGAGTAACTGAGATGACGGATGATAGAGTTACTTGGAGGACGAAAACCCGGTGCGCCGGACTACCGGAATAGGATAAGACCGGGTAGATGAGACTTCGAATAGCACATAGCAGAAGCACACAAGAGTGTTATATGCAACATTATTATTCCGTTCCGAAATCGCTAGAATAAAATTGTATTATATTTAATCTATTATTACATTGTAAGCTTACCTTCATATTGTCGTGTCATTTGGTATTTCCCTTGAGGAAAACCGTTATAAAAACCGTTACCGGTACTATGGCTTGTTTGTTTACATCATGTAGACGAAAATGTTACCACTGCTGAATAACAAGGTTAGCAAACTGATTTGAAATTGATAAATCTAATTTAATTCTATAGTCTAAGGTCCCATGGATACAAGACATGTCTTAAATTTAAAATGGAATGATTTGCATTTTTGTATGCATTGAAATAACTCAAAAACTACTAGCCCGATTTTAAAAATTCATTTACCATTAAAAAGCTACGTTATCGCTGATTAATATTGGCTATAATTTCACGTAGACGAAGTCGCGAGCACCAGCTAGTCTATACAAATATTATGTAAAAGAAGGATTTGGATTTGGAATACATAGAGTATTGGAATAACTCAAAAACTGGGCCGATTTTAAAAATTCTTTCACCAGTAAAAAGCTAAGTTATCTGTGAGTATTTTTTAACTAAATTTTAAAAGTAATTGAATGCCAATGTTGTGTTTTTTTACTTAATTTTAAATGGTCTTAAAAATCAACTAATAACTGCTCAGTACAATAGAAAATTCTTAACATTAGTGACCCTATTTGACAGACAGTATAACTTTTAAAAAATGTCTTTGTATATTAAAAGCTTTCCTAGTTTGTATACAATAAATGTTTATAACAGTACATTTTAATGTAACGTAAGTTTTTATACGATGACGTGATTCTATTTGCAACAGGATGCAATGTTTTTGTCCCAAACGTGTCTCGTTACTGTATCCCATAGTCTCGCACGGTGCGTGCGTTTACCAAGGTTGCTTCGGTCTGTTGGACTTAGACTGTACGTTTCCACTGTTAATAAACTTGTAAAAAATTATATTGTCCCGCACGTTCTTAATAATTCTCTTTGGATAAAGCCAGGGGAATAACAATAATCATTCTCTTTGGATAAAAAGACATTGTCAATCTATACTGATATTATAAAGAGGAAAGATTTGCATGTTTCTATGTATTGAAATAACTCAAAAACTACTGGGCCGATTTCAAAAATTCTTTCATCATTAAAAAGCTACGTTATTAGTGATTAACATAAGCTATAGTTTTTTATTTCACGCGGGCGCAGTCGCGAGCAACAGCTAGTATTCCAGATATTTATTAGGAGTTTAATTTCATTATAATTAGTTTTATCCCGCGAGTTTATCCGAACTTCTGCTCTAATTTTTTATCTTTTCTCTCCTTTATTTCTTTTTTAAAAAATCGTAGTATGTAGCCTGATTGTACTTCCAAATTATGTACCAATCAGCGAATTTGGTACCCCTTTTTTGAGGTGGGTAGTAAACTATCCATCCAAACTTCCGTATTTATAACAATAATATAATATAGAAAAGAGAGTAAATACAACTTTAGTGTGACACAACTTCGATCTTATAGGAAAAAACACAAAAAAAATAATTAAAAATATCTTTATTGCACTACATTCATGAACACTATATAATGTGATATGTACAATGTTGATACGACTTTATATCTATATCTACGAGTATACTATTATAATAAAGCGTAAACACACACTTCTTTGTTGTCTAAGATGTCAGCAATTACAGCGTATTTTTGAATAATTCTCTTTTAAATAATAAGCCCTACACTTACGTCATGCTTTAGGCTATATATTTTCACACCAATAAACTTAGTGGGTAAATATTTTGGATGAAAACCCTAATGTGGGAAATAGGCCATAAGTTGTTGCCAACATCAAGGAAGTAAGATTGTCAAGGTTTGTCATGTCATTTTATTTTGACATTTGTTATTGATAATTTGCGCGGGAACAGCTAGTTCTAATGACAACGTAGACTTATTTACACGATTAGACATAAAAACCTATAATCTAAAAATTACAATTAATATCAAATTAGAAAACAATACAAAATTTTAATAAAAAATATATATAAATTCACTCTTGGAACGAAGTATATTATTTTTTACTTTTAATAATTTATTGAACATTTTGCCGCATGGGTGTATGTCGCCAGTAATAATAATAGATAAATAATAATAACATAGAGCACGGTGGCTCAGTGGTTTAAACACTTGATTTGTAATCTACAAGTCTTGGGTTCGAATCTCGCCGCCATGTAATATGTGATTTTCGATTTTTCGAATTTTCATATGTACATAATTTACCCGACGTTCTTACGGTGAAGGAAAACATCGTGATGCAACCTGCACATATCAGCGAAGAAATTCAAAGATATGTGTGTGCGCACTTGGCCAGCGTGGTTGACTATGGCCTAGTCACCCCTTATTAGGGTAGGCTCCGAGCCCCTCGGTGGGGACGTATAGTGAGCTGGTGATGATCAATAACAACATAGAGTAAGAGCGGGCGACTTCGACTAAACTATCGCACAACTGTTGTGTCATTATCGATTGTTTCGCAGCCAATTCAACTGTTTAGTTGCACTCAAAATCGAGTAGTGTTCGCACCTCCATATAAGCTCATAGGAATCAAAGCGAGCGAATTGTGTAATAGTTTAGTCAAAGGGTAGCGCACTCTTAATGATAATGTGCAGCAGTGGAAGAAGGTATTAAATTTTAAGAAAAACTGCCTCTAAAGTAAACAAAAGTCGAAGTTTCTGCGTCAAAGTTCAATATTTCCTTTATTCTGTTAGTATTTTCGATATCACGCCGTGTCTCATTGGCTGGTAGTCTGGTGTCCAGTTGGTCAGCTGATGGTCTACTTCAGAAGGTTTCAGAATCGAACCACTGCCACATCTTAGGCTTGGTGTAATCCAGCTCGTACTCTTCGCATTTCTGGCTGGTTATCCTGGAAATGAAACAAAAGATGGTGATATATTTTAATGTCATTAAAACATTGGAAACACAGGAAAAGACGATTTAGCATTTTTGCGAATGTGGGAAACTGTCAATTTTAACCAATTTAATGACAAAGCATTCTCTATCTCTTTCTAGGATTCTCTATGGGATTGACTTCTCTATCTTACTAGCATATCCTTGTTATGATAATATTGTAAATGCGAAAGTTTAACTGGAGAGGTGGATGTTTTTAGAGTCTTCCACCTAAACTGCTGAACGTATTCCGATGAAATTTGGCAAAGATGTAGAGGATAGTCCAGAACACATAGGCTACTTACTCTGGTTTTTAATTTCACGCGGATAGAGTCGCAGTCGAAAACTAGTATTTAAGACACTTTCCCCTTTCTTCCTAGTAATATTAGGGACTCCGTCAGCGTGTGTTCTTCCAGACTATCCTCTACGTCTATGCCAAATTACATCGAGATCCGTTCAGCCGTTTAGGCTACAAACTCTAACAAACATCCATCTAAACTTTCGCATTTATAATATTAGTAAGATTAAATTGAATGTTTAAAACTTGAATGTTTAACATGTAACCGACCTAGTACGGCGCACACATTTGACGATAGGATGTGCCTTCCTGAAGCACTGCGGTCCCAGCACGTTGAAGTACGTGAGACCTATCTGAGCAGAAACCAGTGAGTTTGTCCGCCGCAAGCAGTCGCGAAACTTCATATCACAGCTGCAGTGAGAACTGAAACATATATACGAAAACATTAAGAGCGAGCGCACAGAAACGAAACTATCCCACAACTGTTTGGTCGCGCTTTGATTCCTATGAGCTTAGAAGTTGCGCACAGTACTCGATTTTTATTTGTGCAACTAAACAGTTGAATTGGCTGCGAAACAATCGACAATCGCACAACAGATATGCGATAACTATGTTCAGGTGTGTGCCCCTAAACAAGATAGAAAACAACTGACAAATCCTGACGCGACCGCTGCCTTGTTCGCCTCTTCAACATTCATAATTCCATGCATGCATCATTTAAATTGTTTAATGAAAGAATTAATGAAATAACACTGCAACAACTACACAATATAAATAAACATTACATAAAGAATGAATAATTAAACATAATACTTAAATCAATAAAAAAATACATTAAGAATCAATAAATTTCTTATATATTTAATCTGGTAATGCCAGAACTAGGGAAATTCCACAAGATTAAGCAACAATTTAATATGAAACAAGTATTTAAAGTTAATCTTAATCTAAACAGGTTTGATCATTTTTACAAAATTACCGAGATAAACATGACTGCGCCTGACATGCTAGTTAACTAGAGATACCGGGCTCAATACGACGAACGTAATTTAAGACACAAATGTAGTCGCACATACTATATTTTCTCCCAAAACGTGCTGGAAATTCGAAGTATTTAAAGATGCTTTTGATATTTGCTTTGCATTGATAGAGAAGTAGAAAATAATTTAGAGTAAGCTAATATCGCACTAAACGACAATCTAAACTAACTCTAACGAATGTTAACTTTTTTATCGATGAATTAAGTTATATCCAATAATCGTTAGCGTTCTTAAATTTAACTCTAAACTAATAGAATTAATAATAAATAATTTGTTTAATCTATACTAATATTATAAAGAGGAAAGATTTGTATTTTTGGATTTTTGTATGTATTGAAATAACTCAAAAACTACTGGGCCGATTTAAAAAATTCTTTCACCATTAAAAAGCTACATTATCAGTGCGTAATATAAGCTGTGATTTATTATTTTTTTACGCAGACAAAGTCGCGAGCAACAGCTAGTCGTTTTAATAAATTCGTCGCAATAGAGCGGCACGTGTAACTTTCACTCTGCGCCTCAGTGCGACAATCTCGACTCGCTTACGCAATACTACGCTCTTGCTGATTATATAATAACATTATTCGCCAAACAACCTGCAAACTCGACTTCAAACTATAATAACTGATTCGATATACTTTATCTGCAAACAAACAGACGGAAATAAAAAAAAACTAAATTTATAGTATTTGAAAAAAGACTAATGATTATACTGTTTTAATATTTCGTTTATCATAATTAATTTTTCGTCCCTTCTCCTTCTCAACAATTTCTCATAAGGGAAGATTAGAAAGTTTTAATGCCTCTTATTTTATGGACATTAAGAAACGCCAGTACTTAGCTTCATGTTGTTTAATTACTATATGTTACATTTTGTATTAACAATGACTTTATTAGTGCGAGATATAATGCATAGCTGCGCAGAGTGATAGACAAAGAACAAGAGAGTGAATATCCAATAGGGATGTCCGTGTGACGCTGTTGCTAGGGATGTCCATAATCGATCATTAGGGATCCAGATGAAGGTGACACAGGCGCCAACAGAAAGGAAAGCGTATTTGACAGGAAAGGGGCACTTAGGAGGAGGAATTATCTGGTATGCGCTCCGTCTATCGTAGATTATAGGTAACTTCCTACAATTACGAATCTCTTTGGACATCAATAGTTTTAACAAGTGCGATTGTCGATTGTTTAGTCAATTCAACTGTTTAGTTGCACAACTAATAATCTAGTAGTGCCTCCATAAAAGATCGTAAGAATCAAAGCGCCACTGAGTTGTACGAGAGTTTAGTCAAAAATGGACGCGTATTCTAATGTTGCCATATATTTGCGTGAAGCGCTCTTGTATACAAATACACAATTCGAAATTTCCTAACGATTGACAACACAGTATCTCTTCAAGAGGTTACAAAACAGTGCAAAGTCATATTGCTATTGGTGCCAAGTGGTCGCTGGAAGATGTTTATTAACGATAAAGAGGATTTTGTAATAAACTTGCAGCATATTGACGGGATGGTGATAATTTTTAAGTTTCCTTTGGATACAACATGAGGCAAACGTAGAGATAAGAGTTTATACCACTTAAAATAAAGAGGGTTGACGAAAAATCTGCTTTGGATTTTGGTCCCATAATGTCACTTATTACCTCAAAATTTGTATTGTTTATATCGGGTATCGGGACGTTGAATATTACGTCTTTGTATTGAATTCGTAAACAAGAATTGTATACAATAACAATAAATATTCAGAGCAAATTTAGAAAGTGTTTTAGTTATCGAAACTGATATTGAGGTCAATGACCGTTGATGTAAGAGAAACCAGTAAATCTGTGACATTCAATTACAAGGGATGGAACTCTGCGACAAAGCAATTACTGTCAAATGATGATGTAACTAATGTAATGAGACATGGAGGTACATCGCATAAACAGATCTTGGTGTAAAGGATGCACTATGATACAAAAATTAAACTTCTCATAATTCATTATCATCTCCCCTGTCTTATCCTACTCCCGTAGTGTGGGCGCACCAGATTTTCAATCTCCAAATAACTCTATCATCCGTCATCTTAGTCATCACTCCCTTCTTGATCATGTCACCTTTCACGCAATCCATCCATCTCTTTCTAGGTCTACCTCTACCGGTGTACCTCCACATTCATAACTAACGATCGTCTTGGACGTCTAGACATCTAAACTTCTCATAATTATGAGAAGATTTCAATATTTGATCTCCTAAGATTAAAATATCCGGTCGAGGTTTCAAAATACATCAGAGATACACTCAGCGAGAAGATTCTATAATCATTTTTAACCATCTTACTAATTAATAAATGTAAAGTTTAGATGTATGGTTGTTTGTTAAAAGTTATCTCGAATTAACGGACCTCAATGAAATTTAGATTTTGCAAAACATAATCTGGAAGAACATATAGACTATATATAGTTTTGTTTCTTTTTTACTTCCACACGGACTTGGGTGCGACAGCTAGTGTTTGATGAAAGTTTTTAATGAAAGAAATTCATTCGTATAAAAACTGTATTCTTAATTTTATTATCGTAATTTTGTTACCATATTTTACGCAATTGAACATTCCTAAATTAATTTTAATTTTGTAACTGAAGGTATAAACTTAAATTTCTTTGTAACAATAAATTTCATTAATAATATACAACTGAGAAGTTATATTATTATCAAAAACTTACATTAAGAAATAATAAATTCAACTTAATAGATCTCAGTGATAAAACGAGACGACAGACAATTTGAAATGTTGCGAAAAAAAAACGTAAAAACCAAGTATATCTTTTATCATGCAAATATTTCACGACAGCAATAAAGGTAATATAAATGTATTTAAACCTTTTCTGACGAATGAGTTTTTTAACGTAATCCTTACATAATCTTTGACACGCAACAGATAAAATGGCGGCGGAAAAGCGCGGGAATTGGACGTGTGAATTTTTTGTGTCTCATATAATACTAAATTAAGACCCAAAAATTCTAGTCACGTAATTTTAATCTAGTTTACTATTGTCACGTAATTTTATACAATAGATATGTTAATCTAATGGTTCGAATTTTCAAAGAAATATTTCATAATAATAACAAAGAGTATTTTACACAGAAGAGTCAATTAAGTTTTAACATATTATTACGACTCTCGATAATTATACAGTTTTAAATCCCTGATGCTTTATTTTACTCAGTTTAGTTTGCTGCAGCCCTGAATATTTAACCGAAGGGTATCACGTATTCAGAAACAACCATAACAATACAGGTATTGTATTGAAGATAGTGAACAAATTAACTTGACCTGCTTATCGGTTTATGGGAACGTATATCTGAGAGTCACGATCCGAGATCACGCGGGTCAAGGTTGGCTGGTGCTGAGAAAACGCTCCATTGGGAAACTGATGTATCGCAATGTTGTTACAAGCCCATGGTATTTCGAGATCATTTAATAAAGAAGCCGAAGGTGATCTAGACAAAGAAAAGACAGCCTTTGTGCTAAACGATTTGTTTGTAGAAGATGTCGTCATTCCCTCTTACCGTGTGAATAGACCAGTGTTAGTAAGACCGTATTTGGTCTCTCCAGCCCGTATGTAGATCTTGCAGGCATCGTGCTGCCGGCAGCAGGTGTCGGTGAAAAAGAACAAACCCAGCTCCCCGGAGCGTGCTGCAGCGGCGTGCCCGTCACCACACCATACCGTACCTAAAATGACATAGAAACAAACATTTAGTTCTTGTATATTATTTGTATTATATTAAGTAATCAGCACACAAACCTGGGTAAATCGCTTGAACTCTATCTTTGAAGGCGTCCACAACAGTATTGGCGACATTTGCAACGCTGGTCACACCAGATGCCAAACTACTGACGAACCCTCGATCACTGTCCAGAGATCCGATGTCTCGGACACCCGCCATTAGTTGACTGAAAGGTCTGCTGATGCCCGAAGATATTGTCTTCAGAATTCCACGACCAAATTGACCTGTAAGAAAATACAAGCATGAATTAGTTGCTAAAGATAAAGATGCTAAAGGCGAACAATATTGTACTTAAATAAGATAAATTGTTTGATGTAAACTTACCCAATCCTCCATTTTCTTCCCTACTTCTTAACTTCTCAGCTTCCAACGCCTCACTTTGCTTCTGCATTCGTTTGTAAATGTCGTAAATCCAATTTGGTACTACCCTCTCAGCTACCGTCTCTACAACACTTTCGACAACGCTGCCAGCGAAGCCAAAAATTACTGATAATGCGTCTGTTTTCGGTGCAGTTGTCGGGACAATATCTTTCGAATCGTAATAATCTTCTGGGACGTCCTTTTCTTCTTCTTCTCCTGTATCTAATTCTGTAAAAATTGGAACTTCTTCTTCACTAGATTCTGTAGTTTCACTGGAATCAGTAGTTTCATCTAATCGATTAATAGATTCGATGGAAGAAGTAGTGTTCAGTATAATGTTGACGTGTTCAGTTGTAACTACTGTCGTTGTATCAATTTCTTCGGTAGTATGATTTTCATTAGTTTCTTTGTTTTCAAATTCGATATTTGAATTATTACGAATTGTTTCAGCTGCTATTACATCTAATAGTGTTATATTTTCATTATTTGTATTAGTTGTTACATCTACGCTTGTTGTTGTACTTATTTTATTTATATTGTGTTTTGTTGTAACGTCGACATGTTCTGTAGTTGGTGTATAATCTTCTGATGGTTGTGTTGAAGCTGGTAGAGTAACTGTTTGATGGATATCTATCTGTGGTAATATTCTTTTCGTAGTTGACAGTGGTATTACTGTTAAGTCCGCTTCAGTAGTACTTTCGACTACACTTACTAATATATTCTCTGTAGTACTAACTAATTCTAACGGTATAACACTAAATTCTGACAGTTCTGTTGATTCTTCTATTGCTTTAGTTGCTTCTGTAATATTTTTTATTTCATCTGTTTTATTTTGGTTTGTTTTTTCTTTATTTTTAATTTTATCTTTAACTATAGTATACCTATAATTATCTTTATTATCTATGTTTTTCCATGAAGCTGTGTCGTAATTTTTATTCAATTTAATTGAATATTCATCATCAAAGTCTATAATATTGTTATCAAGAGCATCTTCTTGCTTTTTGTCGTTTCTTTTGAACGGTACATCAAATGCTCTTGGGTCTGTTAATGATGGCGATACTAAACATATAATAAATATGGCACTTGTGATACAATTCGTCATTTTTCTTCGCACCGGATGGTACATTATCGTTCGCCCATCTGAAATCAAATAAAATTCGACGTTAGTCATTGGTAATTCCTTTCTTTCACGCGTAATGTCTTTTACTTTTAAAACCTCATTTTGTTTTAGATTACTGAGACGTATAAGTAGTATTCTTATCTATAATATAAATATAAATGTTAACTGTTTGTTTTTAACAGTTTTCACAATAGTTGTATAGACAAACATACCAGTAAGCACACATTGCTCCATACAAAGCCTTCGTTGTAAGGTCAGTAAATATATTGCTAGAAACGTTATGAGAGGTCAATTGCGATCTAAAGTAAATAAGAATAACAGTAATTAGATCAAAACACATATTTTTTTGGAAGATTATACAATTTATAATACCATCCAATACAATCCAAAAGGTATAAGCCATGGAAAACTACATTTGAAAAAAAAAACGGAACAGACTTTTCCAGACCCGCATTTATTTCATATTTCTAAATACCATAATAAATAGAAATGATGAATAAAACAACAGTTTATGTGCAAAATAGTCTGCATTCAATGCAATTAAAGTACATATTGACATTATTTACGGAATATAAGACCGAAGTTAGGGCATACCGTGGTTGGGAGCCTAACAGAAAGGGGCGCCACAGATCTACAAATAACTGACATGTCATTCTCAACACCCAGGGCGCTAGTAAGCTATTGTTGTTGAATATCTAGTAATATTTATTCCATGCCTCTATTAATAGTAATAACTTAGTAATAACGGTGTTCACCCGAGTCCGTCACGCTGTAACAAGAATCAATATTGCACCGATCTAAGCGAGATAAATGTACACGCAGTCGATTACTGCGCAACACCCGCTCACTTTGCGCCGCACTGCATCGCACAAAGATTAACTACGCAGATAAGACGTATTTAGAATACACCTGCTAATTCTAGCTGTATTATGCATTGTCTTTATTAGGCAAAAAACTATTAATTATACAAACGAAGTGTAAATTAAACTTTTATTTAAGTACTAATGCCGATAAGTTACTATTCACGTTAATTATAGTTACTTTTTTTTGTATAAAATTAAAATAATCCAGCCTCGTTTTAGTCTAAAAGTGTCTCAAGATCTCATTCGTTTTTTATTATTTTTTATGTTAAAATCCTTGTATTTTGTTGATTGTATCATTCAATTCAGGGTAAGGATATGAATAATTTGAGGTTACATTCAAGATTATGGAAATAAATCTAACCACTGAAAAGAAAAACTCAAAGGTCAATAATATCATTTGATGAACAGAAAATTTACTTATGTATGTGTCTTGATTTGAACATTTTTATTCGTTAAACAAAGCGAAGAGCAAAATGTTACATTTTATTAACTTATTGTAAAACGTAAGGATCATCTTTAAAAACAATATTTATTCACATTGTAAGGCGGTAAACGAGTATACTGCCTCCTGGATTTTATGTTTAAAATGACGTATCTTGTAGGTAAATAATCTTTGACTCGTATTTCATGATTCCTTATTATAATTTACAGAGTGTAGAGATTTCTCACGGTCTAATAAATGTTGCTTTACGTTGATTTTAAACGTATTGTTTATTCTTAGTTATGCTGAGAAAAAATACTTCGTAACCTAAATTTAAGACATAGGAATTAACAGATATTTTTTGGGAATACAATTTGAAACATTCTTCCGTTTGATACTAAAATATAAAAAAGTTTGAAACATTTTTATGTAACAATTTTTAATGCAAATATTCATTTATCTTTATTCTTCTAGAGTACAATGTTCCTTAAACCAATAATCTTACTTATATTTTAACTAGCTGTTCCCGTGCGGCGTCATCCGCGTGAAATTATAAAATCTTTATTTTGTTGTTTACATTTGTCAAATTATCAATAGCAAATGTCAAGTTATCAATAGCAAATGTCAAAATGACATGACATGACAAACCTTAGCAACCATTCTTTCTTGATGTTGGCAGCAACTTATGGTCTCTTTCCCACATTAGGGTTTTTATCCAAAATATTTACCCCCTAAGTTTAATGGCGAGAAAATATATAGCCTAAAGCTTAAGGCTTTTTATTAAAAAAAGAATTATTCAAAAATATGGTGTAATTGCTGACATCTTAGGCAACAAAGATGTGTGTGTTTACGCTTTATCATAATAGTATAGACTACAGCCAAAGCTCTCATTATTTAACTGCGTAAACAAGAACCTAATTTGGCGTTAAACTTTTAATCAAAATACCTTAAGTTAAAGAGAATAAATATAAAAGGAATAAACAAGTTTAGTATAAACCAGGAGTGGTCAACATTTTATTCAAGTTTAAATATTTTAAATAATGAAACTTACCTTGAACAAGTTTTCAATTGCAAAGTCGACCAATAAATAAATAAAAAATATTAAAACAAATGAACACTACTATACTATTGTCATTTACGCACAAAATGTTTTCTATCCGTAAATGTTTACAGTAAAATATCTATACAAAATTACGTTATTCCTATTTTTTTATATTGGCTTCAACTAACACAAAAAGGTTGTATACCTCTGAAAATCTTACAAATCTGGTCATGGTAAATAAGTGAACGTAGAATTCTTGCAGTTGCTCGATCAACCTAACGGCAGTAATCTAGGCCTCGATTTATTTATCGTTGTCAATAATGATTTAGTATTTAGCTTACTAGCTTTCGCCCGCGACTCCGTCCGAATAGAATTTAACAAAGCAAAATTACCCTAAGTATTCCAGACTATCCTCTACATCTATACTAATATTATAAAGAGAAAAGATTTGTATTTTTGTATTCATCGAAATAACTCAAAAACTACTGGGCAGATTTCAAAAATTCTTTCACCATTAAAAAGCTACGTTATCAGTTAACATGGGCTGTATTTTAATATTTTTTATTTTCACGTAACTGGTAGTTCATAAAAAAAGATTGACTACATATACATGACTTTTTAAACAAGACTATTTATCGTGCATTTAAGTACTTACATATCCTAACAGAATGTGATTTTGAAAGTTACTTAACTATAATACAAAACAGATTATTATTAGAGATGACAAAACTAAACTCGAATAGTTTGCAAAAGCAGTTTTACAGAGCAGCGCAGCGCTGAAAGCGCTCAACAAGCACAAGTCATTGCTAAATTATTCGTTACGTTTGATTGACTTGAGAACATACGGATTTGTATTACGACTGGAAGGAATTCTCTAAATACTCTCTATAGTAGGTAACACTACTAAATAGTTTCAGAGTTACTACATAGTTTATTAGTTAATTGACAGTTCTTTCTATTCCGTACATAATAAGCATTCCTTTTGGCATAAAAAAATGATTTTTTCATGTCCCTTCTAGACAAAACATACATCAACTAGTGATGGACTTTTCATTTAATAATTTGTAATTTACGCAATTAAATACAACAAAGTAAACAGAGAATGTTGCCGTATGTTCTCTCGGTATTGTAATAACAACCTTCTGATTCGCTTTTACTTTTGCCGGCTGTCTGAACGTTTATTGTAATATTTATAAACTAGTTGTTACTGGCGACGTTGTACACGTGAAGTTTGAATATATAGCCTACATTACTCAGCGATAACGTAGCTTTACAATGGTGAACGAATTTTCGAAATCGACCCAGTAGTTTTTGAGTTATTTCAATAGATACAAAAATACAAATCTTTCCTCTTTATAATATTAGTATAGGTAAAACTTTGTTTTTATCTTCATTTGCATGTATTCTAACTTGTATAGTTCATTATCAACCGCAAATGCTTAGTTAAGTTACATGATTTATGTATGTTAACAGTTAAGTACTCGGTTAAGTTATCACTTAACGACTGTGATTTCCATAGGTGTGGAGTTTGTGGCATATTTATTAACAAGTCATTAGCTTCACGAACAATCTTAAGTTAAAAGTTAAAAATGGTCACCAAAGATTTATTATATTACAAATAAGTCAGATTTAGGTCTCAACTTTTTTTTATTTAATTACCTTAGTAAATCTAAACCTATACCAATATTATAAAGAGGAATTATCCAAGTTCTTGTTTATATTGAAATAACTCATATTCTACTGGACCGATTTCTAAAATTCTATCAACAATAACAAATTATGTTACCACTAAGTAAGGCTACGTTTTTCACGTAGACGACGTCACGTGCAACTGCCAGTGTAATAAAATATCCCTAATACTTAAATGGTTCAATTTACTCTAAAAAAAATCCAATATAATTTTAGCAATAATAATTAGTTGAAAAAACTATTTCAACGTAATTTTACAGCTTGTGTAATGTAAGTTAAGTAAGTTAATTGTTACTTAATTAGTTAAATACTTGTTACACAATACTAAGGTATTTGACATTGAACCAACAAAGTTTTTAATTGTAATTAAAAATAATTGAACTCTTCAAAAATTCTCACGATTTGTAATCGTATTTTGTAAGAGGTAAGCAGCGGTAGGAATTACTATCCGACATTCATGCTTTTAGAAGCGTGTATGGCCACTTTTTCTTAAGATATGCTGTTTTAAGACTTTGTTTAATAAAAAAACTCGATATTAGTGTATTACAGCGGACGCATAACGGACGCAAAAATGTGTGATCGTCGATTGTTTCGGAGCCAATTCAACAAAGCAAGACTAAGGGCCTGTCCCACCGGTGGTAGATAGAGGCCCTGATAGTGTAAATATGACGTCACGTCAGATAAAATACAAAATTTCTGTCCCACCAATTTTAAATAGCAGATAACGCTGTGACGTTTTAAATGTCAATGTCATTTTTTTTACAAGCCCCATACAAAACTTTTCGATTCTGTCCCACGGGTGGCTGATAAAGAGTTCTGGATAATGTCGAAATGACATGAATGTCACAATGACGTCAGATATGGTGCAAAATCCAGTCCCACAAGTTTCGGATAGGTAAAATAGCAAATTTACGAGTTCCTAATTTGACTGCCAGATCGAGTGACCATTATCTTTTTATCAACTGGATGAGAAAACTTTCTTTGGTCTTATTTTGAGTTAATACCAATGTTTTGACTGAAAATAGATCTTGTTGAGTTTTGAGAAGATGAATTTACGATTGTCTTGTAATATAACATGAATATACCGTCCCCACAATCACTCAGTAGTGAGAAATTGAGACGATAATCTAGCATGGCAATGGGCCATGTTTCGAGTGACAAACTCTGTACTTTTTGTGTTTTTGAGTTTACTCATGGCAGTGAAGTTTGCATCTTACGAAGTAGTCTTACATGGAACCGTATGGTTACATTATAACAGTAATCCGTTGTCAAAATTACGCTACGCAATTCATTCAACGTAATATTTTGTTGTTAAAATATTTTTTTCTTATTGTATTTGTTAATTTTTACTATTAGCTGTGTTATTATCCTTTGTTAATATAAAAGCTTGTTATGCATTCAATTACGTAAAAATAGACATTTAAGTAAAACTAAACTAAGGTGTCACGTAATTTAGGGCATGGTCTCTTTTACGAACCTGCATAAATAGGAACTTATAAGCATTCGTTGCGACGTTGCCGTTATAGTACTGTTGTAAATTATCAGTGTTATTAATAATGACAGATGTCAGTGGTGGGACAGAAAAATCATTTTATACATTCTGCTATATTACATCTTCATTGATGTCAGATAATTTACGTAAAAGTGATTAGACTATTGCAATACTATCCATTGTTTTGTTCCGCATAAATTTAGTGATAAATAACAATATACCGTTGTCATGGAAACGAAATTCCGATTCGCAATTCATTCCACTTATTTCATTTCATATATTTTATTTTTAACCAAATATTAAAATAAATAAGAGATTTTTTTAATACTTAGCATATATTGTATACAATCTTTTTAAATAAATTTTTTAGCAGAAAATAGGAAAGATTTATCTTAACATGAAAAATAAAGATTTTTGCAAAATTGCCCGAATATGATCTTTTAAGCGTCCTTGCGACGTTGCCGCTTTTACTAACTACCAGGTTCTTATTTATCGGTATCTTGAATTGTGAAACAAAAAAATCCTATATTTCCGTCACGTATTTTATCTGTTTGATTATTATCAGGCAATTTACGAGAATTTGGTAGTACTGCCCCGTAACAGTTGTGCGATAGTTTAGTCTAAGGTTTGCGCTCTTAAAACCGTTCTATTGTTTACTTTTCTGCGTCGTCAATGCGTACACGACAACTAACTTGTTAGATAGTTCACTGTCAGATTTCCTGATTGTACTATTCTCGTAGTTTAGTATCAAATATCAAGTAGCTATTACTAAAGATATTTCAACTTTTGCAACGTTAGTGGAGACAGTTGTAGGCGCGGTTTAAACATTTCTTAATTCACATAATGTTGCGTGTCGGCTTACAGTTCGGCCATGACATTACGTTGAATGAACAAGTCATCGTGTTGCGTGATAGAGTGCGTTGTACTGAATTTACACACTGACATATAAGCACTTTTTTATAATATAAGTTGGCAAACGAGCAAGCAGCCTGAATCCACCGAAATGGAAAGCGACCGCTGCCCATAAACATCCGCAATTGCAGATGCGTTGCCTACCCTTAATTGACGGAGGAGACGCACATAAAGAGGACACTTTCCCTATGCGTTTCCTCCACCGTCAAATTCACTTTTCCTGCCCATCCTTTTCTCTTAAGAAAAGGGCGGAAAGGGAAAGGGACTAAAATTTACTATTTAACTGTAACTCGCAATATCGTCCACGTGAAATAAAAAATTTAGCCTACGTTATTTAGTGACAACGTAACTTTTTAATGGTGAAAGAATTTGAAATCGGTCCAGTTTTAGATCTATTTCAATACATACAAAAATACAAATCTTTCCTCTTTATTTTAGTATGGATATATATGTTTACGTTTGAGCTCTACAGCCTTACTAAATCATTGAAATAATATTATTGATTTTAGCAACATGTTTTAAGGACGCTTGAGAAATGTGTCTCGAAAAAATCGAATAAAATAAAACTATTTTTCTTTCTATTAACTATAACGTATTATATTGTTTTAAGCTTTTGATGATTTTGTCTTTTGTCGCGACGCATGTCGGCTGGACATTAACTATTAAAATATGACATAAAGCCAGTTATATAGGTTTCTAACAATAAAGGACATCTTGAAACCGTTTGTGTTTCTTAATGTATAATGTACATTAAATAAGCCCACAGACTTTATCCGTTAATATCTATTATTAAGTGAATGAATTTCTAAAGATTTCATCTTTTTAAAAGTTATGTAATAACATTAATAAAAGTACTGAAACTCGATGTTGCTTAAAAAGTTTTAATGGAATATTTTGCAAGATTTATATTTAAACGAACCGAATGAGAACAAAACATTAATTAAATTCTGTCGTTAAACTTTAATATAACACATTTAAAATAAAATAACATATAATTTATATAACCAAAAAAATCTACATCTTTTAAGGCCTAACCTAAATAATTAATATAATAAAAACCAACCTGATTATTAATATTTTACACAAACACTAATTAAATAAAAGAAAATCACTTAAATAACACAACCACAGATAAAAAATACGGATTATTTAAAAAAGAAAATAGATGACAAAAACACTGGTCGAAAACAAAAACAAAAAAAATTCACGTGCGAAAGAATTGCGGTTTGCGGTTGACGGGCAGCTTTGGCGCCAAAACGCGGTGAAATGTCAAACTTGCGCGGGAACGTAAGGTCGCGGCAAATGGTTATATGGCGGGGCGTAACCAATACAGCTTAGAAATAAGTCGAAGCAAATGTTTGTCTGTTTTAATTTTAATAATATAATCAAATTAACATAGTTTTTAGTTCAATCGACTTCAAACACTTCTGTGGTAAAAAATAAGACATCGATACCGTCGTACCGGCTTAATATGACAAAAAAAATATACAAAAAAGCCACAGCAAAATCTATTTTATCAAATCATAATGTTATACTGAAGGCCGAAGACAACTAGAGCGTATAACGCGTCTAACCGAGGCCCAAACGAGTGGTCCGGAAGCAAATTCTATAATTACTGCATCAAAATGTAACCAAAGGTGTGGACATAAATTCTTATTAATATTTGTTTAATAGAATACGATATGAACGAAGGTCAATGAGTAATTAAACAATACAAAAGCAAAGTAAACGGAAGCAGCCGACGATGCAGAACAACCTTGCTTAACCGACACATTGCTGCAATTAATGTGCAGATGCAATTTGGAACATAACTACGAGAAGATTATGCAGTAAGGATTAATCTTTACTTCTATACTAATATAATAAAGCGTAAACAAACACTACTTTGTGGCGTAGGATGTCAATCACAGCACATTTTTGAATAATTATTTCTTTTAATAAAAAGCCCAACACTTACGACATTATTAAGCTATATAGTTTCACGCTATTAAAATTAGGAGGTAAATAAATTGTAAAAATACTTAATGTGGGAAAGAGACCATAAACTACAAGCTGCCAACATTAAGGAAGCAAGGTTATTATGATAACGGTAATTATGACATTTGCAATTGAGATGACAAATGTATAGAATAAAATGAAGACTTTATAATTTCATACGGATGAAGCCGCACGGGAACAACTAATTCTCATATCATAGCTAAGATAAGTAGATAAGTGGTAGATATAGTCTCAAGGTTGATGCCTAATTTTAGACATTTGCAGTTCTTTGGCTGTACACTGCATGAACCTGTTTTGACAATAACTGTCTTGTATCACAAGAGTTAGTCAAATTGAATGATGTAAACCATCATCGAACTGGTAAGGGTTGATGGCAAGAATAAAACAAAACATTCCGTTAAATATTTTCTATAATGTTCTTATTTAAATACAGTCGGACAAACACATTCATCATGTAAAATTAATAACACAATAGTTTATACTAAAATCGTGGTTATTGTAAACAACCAGTTGGTATTCTTTCGTAGTAATAAAATTCTTTTTACATTCAAACATCCATTTAGTTATATTTAATAAGTAACTAACAAATATCAACTTGCTTTGGTTTATAAATAAAAATTAGTACCTTGTAAAATTCTCTTTTAATAAATATGAATATAATGCATATAAGTTTGTTGTTATAACAATTAACACAACAGAGCTAGCTTTTTTAATATTGTTCCATCGAAAGGCATCGTCAAAGAGCTATGTTAGGTACGAAGGGAATACGTCGTTCACATACGTATCTTCAACTTCTGTGTCCTTTGAATCTGAATCTACTTCGAACTTTATCGTCACGTCATCCAACATATTATGTGAAGTGAATTTTCTAACATCAGAGTTGGGAAGCAACTTATAAAACTGTTTCCTTTTTTCTTCATCCATTATTTCTTTTGATATTGAACTGACGTCATTTTTATCAGCTGTCAGAGCTCGATTTTTAGCACCGACTCTTGAAGGAGAACGTTCAGTAGATTTAGTAATTATTTTCCTTTCAGTTTTTTTTCCACTGCTGTCACCGAGATCATAATCGACCCAGCCGAATTTAGATTTTTTTGTCTGCTTTCCATCGAAAGCTATAATCTTAGGATTGTTAAACTTTTCACGTACCATATGATGGAATTTTCGAGTCGTTCTCAAGGTTGCTTTTGTTCGCGACGGAAGCGTTGGTTGTATATCCACGTCACTGTCTACTCCTAATTTAATTATGTTCGGTGAAAGTTCTTCATTATCATGTTTATTATCGATGTTAAATGATTTGAAACTCTCTACCTCATTTCGATCATAGTTTGCAATTCCAGGTCCAATTTTTACGGATGTTTCTGTATCGGATTCCGCAACATTGTCTTTGAGGAAATCGTATTGAATCATAGGAGTCGTAGTAACAATAGCAGGTGAGGTTGTCGACATCGATTTTAGTTTTGCATTCTTAAGAATATTATTAAAGTTTGATAATCTAAAGCTGTTACTTATCTTCTTAGAAGCATGTAGTAGTTTCTGGAAATCTTCTATTTTATCGTTCCCATCATCTGTCGACTTTGGAAATGTGATTTGATTGTCATCAGAACCAGATGTTTCGTTATTTTCTTTATCCAAGCTGTCCAATCCGTATATATTATCTACATACGAGAATGTCTCAGCGGTTGCTTTTTCCGTTGGCCATGGATATGTTCTTGTTGTGGAACCATCGAGAACTTTTTTCTTAATTGGTTTTATGTCAGGAGCATGTTTAATTGCATCTATTAATAGATCAATTCCATCATTTACTGAAATATAAAGTACAAATTTATGTGTTTGTATAGAAATATAATTGAATTAAAAAAGATAATATCATACCAGGGGCAGTATCCAAGGGGTAGTTCTGCTTGAGTAAATATTCCATAATTGTTAGTAAATACTCGATTGCATCATCATCACCAACTGCACTCCTCTTTCTTCTATTCGTTGTTGCAGAACTTAATTTTTTTGCTAAATTTTTCAGTTTTCTCAGATTATTAATAATGTTCTTTGTAAATGTATCGATAGCGAGGCTCGTAGTGAAGTCGTTATCGTCAAATCTTTCTGGTTTTTTCGATTTCTTCTTCTTTTCAGTATGCGTTAAATTGGATTCTAATTTTGTTAACATGTCGTAAACTTTTTTTATAAACGTATTTTGTAATACATTATAATTGACTAAAACTTTTTTAATCTTCTTAAACCGCTGTTCGGCGATTGCTGTTTTGGAATTAAATTTACCTATTTCGTTTGCTTTTGTGCAGCGCAAAGGTCGTTGTGGTAATCTTTGTTTGTTTGTCACGTTTTTCTTATCAGTCAAAATATAAATTATATCTTGAAGAATATATGAGAACTTTCCGATTGATTTAATAAAAGTTTTAATGCTATCCTTGATGTAATAAAGTTGAAGATGTCTATTCTCTATTTTATTGTGTGTGCCGTTTTTGTTATAATTACTGCTTATGTTAAGTTTACTGCTTAAATTTAAATCGACAGCTTCTATTTTATTATTAATCATTTGTTGCAAAAGTTTCTTGATTATTTTAATAGTTTCCATAACCTTGTACATTTCACCATTTAATTCATTTATTTTGATTTGCAATTTAATCTCGTCGCGAGGATAAATTTTGCAAGTTACGTTTTTCACACAAAAAGTTTCAACTAAATTGTGTTTATCAAATAATTTTAATTTATCATTTGCTATATAAAAGCCGTTCTTGCTTTTAAAAAAGATGTTATTAAATAGACTTCTTAGATTTCCGATGAAATCAAAATTTGATCCGATATTTTTATTTTTCGATACATTTCTTGGTTTTTTGAACACATGTTGTAATATTCCTTTACTATTAAGCATGTTATTTATTAGAGTTAAGTCTTCATTTTCACTTGATTCTTTCGTTCCTTTCTCTTTGACGAGACCGAAATCATCAAAAGTAATTTTATTGTTATCTTTCTGCAAATGCATTTGATTATAATCCAGTGTGTTGTTGATGTTTTCTGAAGTTGTTAAATATTTGATATCTGTTATATTTATGGTTTTAAATTTTTGTTTATCTTTCACATCGCGCCATATCGATAAGTTCAATTCATTAGTACTTGAACATAAGTTTGTACCAGTTAAGTTTTGCGATGTCTTCTTTAAAAGTTGAATGGTTTTATTACCATAAGTGTAATTGTAACTTAGATGTTTAATTTTAACTCCATCGTTATTTTGTAAATCGTACTTTCCTTCTGTAACTACATTATATTTGTAATATTCGTATTCATTCAACTTTATTGGATTCTCATTTTGTTCTTTGTCTTGCGTTAATTTTAAAGAATCGTTGGTATCTATTTTAACTGTTGTTGTAAAATTACCTAAAATAGATTCAATTTTGAGATTAAGAGCCATCACCTTTGAATAAACAATCGCACAACTTATGAGATTGTCGATTGTTTCGCAGCCATTCTATTGTTTAGTTACACAACTAAAAATGATATAGTGTGCGCACCTCCATATAAACATAGCAATCAAAGTGACACAAAACAGTTGTCCGATAGTTTAGGCAAAATTGTCCACACGCTCTTCATGATACTAGAATCATTCTAACATTATAAATGCGAAAGTTTAGATGGATGGACGAATGTTTGTTAGAGTTTGTTGCCTAAACTGCTGAACGGATTTCGATGAAATTTGGTATAGATGTAGAGGATAGTGGAAGAATATATAGGCTACTTGTTTTTTTAATACCACGCGGACGAAGTCACGGTCGAAAGATAGTGTTAAATATTTTGAAAAAGATTGATTACCTTGGTTTACAGTATTTCTCCTGATACGCTTCTTTCTAAGTTCTTCCTTCGTAATTTTGTTCAGCGATAACTTTTTCCTAAATCTTTTTGGACTAGATTTCTTATACATATGTGGGCTTACATAAGTGGTTTGATGTTGATAATTATTTTTTATATCGTGTTGGGGCATTGATCGTTTATGAATGACTTTGTGTTTTGTCGAATTTGTAAAATTTCTTTCGGTCTTGTTAATTATTTTCTGTACCGCAGCCATCGCTTTTTGTACTACTTTGTGGTTTAATCTGACATTAACGTTGTTTTCATTTATGATCTTTTTTATTCTAACACCCTGTATGTCTTTGGACTTTCTTTCAACAAGATCCTTTTGGAATATAACTACATTATCGTCGTGTTTCGGTGAATATGGATATTGATAAGTTGTAGAGAATTCTTGTCGCCAGGACTTCACATTATTGTGGTTTACTTTCATTTTTCTGGCCAGTCTGTGCATTTTAGTCGTACTGTTTTTATTCTGATTGTCCAGATTTGAGTGTATTTCCATTGGAGTCCGTTTGATCGTGTTATTATTATTTTGATAATGTTTTTTCAGTTTTCCTGTAATTTAGATTAAGTTTTGTTAATGTAATTTTTAACTTTTGGAATTGGATACCAAAATTATTAAAACATACTTACTATCAGAGCAGAAACTTAAAATGTGACAGTTCCATAGACCAGATCTCTCGCAGTCGCAGACAGTGCAACCGAGACACCAGTCGTCTGAAAGCAATTAACTCGACCTCTTTCATAGGCAAATAAACTGTAACCATACACTGAAGATAAAAAACAAAAGCGAACATTACGATACTTCAAATTTATAAAAATCTAATTAGTAGAGACAGAATTCCAGAGAATATTTAGTAGAGACGTTCTGTCGAGTAGTAGAGAGAAAACCCTGTCTACTACTCGACAGAATGAAGCATTTTCACAACCAGCAATCAAAGACTATATTTGGCAAAATAAAAGATTATTAATTTCTAGACATGCTGCAAATTGCGTGTCTGTTACATGTTAAAGTGAAAATACACTGTGAAAATTAAGTAACATTGTAATTGATCCTTCGCAAGCCGGAACTCACCGGGCGGGCAGTCGTCACTGAGCGTGGTGCCGAGCGGCTTGCAGCTGTGCGAATTCTTCTTGCTGAAAACTAAACATAGTGCACTGCAACACATATACATACACTCCTATCATCAAAATCGATAATAGATTATTTCAAACGTTTTTTTTATAATTGTGGGAATTAAAGCTGTTTCTAAATCAATAAATGAAAATACAATTTAAAATGCTCTTACAGTTTTTAACTGCATATTTTACTCCGATATTTGCGTCTGGACTTCTCCGATTTCTTCCCGTTCTGTAAATAAACATTCAACACTTATGATTTTACAATAATTTAATTTAATAACCATAATATAGAAGTGGCAAAAACATTTAGAAAGATACTAACGACTGAACATTACTACAGAGGAAGTTTTGTATTCAAGTCTACACAGTATGTTCACAATATCGTCAAACAGGAAAGGCAATGAAAAAGCCGAATCAACAAATGTCGGTAGTTTGAAATCATGGATCATATATCAACATTTCAACGAAAACTGATCATTCATAAAGACAACATCTCATTCAGAATACAATAGCTTTCATACGCTTATAGTAAACAATAAAACAAACCTTTTGTCCGTTCTAATGTAAATCTTGGTATGACATTGAGATTTCGGTCTCAACCAGCAAACAGCAGTATTATTCTTACAGAAGCAAAGTCGACAGATGCCAGAATCCACTTCGTTTGATGACAAATCCTCTTTGTAGTAATACCCGTCGTCAGGACATGTCTCCGTAACATTGATAGAGTAGGTCGCATCTGTATGGAAATCTGTAATTGAAAACAAATCATTTTAAAACACTCTTGCTTTAGAATGATCACTTGCCAAATAACAAACTCGGTAATAGGAACAACTCGAGCGGAGATTCCTGAGGAACCCCCCGAACAAATTAGTCTTAAACGAGGTTTAGGCTAAACGCCTTATGTTCAACCACCTCATGCCCAATGAAATTGTAAATGCCTTCAAGCAATTAGTAATAACTGAGACAAGAAATTGTAAGTCTTTAGATCAGAAATTAACATGATGTTAGTGATGGCAGTTTTATTTGAAGTTTAACTGTATCCATATTAATTAAATTATCTAATTAAATAGTAAATCGTCGTTTCTTCATTAAGTCAAAAATTATTCCGTTGAAAGAAAACGTTCAAAAAATCGCTAACGTGATCAAAATTTTAACAAAATCACACATAAAATAGCTTTCAAAATATGAAGTATTTCTGATATTGTCTTTAGATGTATTTAACTTTGAAACAAGTGAAAGAAATTTAAAACGTATCTTTTAACTTAAAAGAGAAATAAAACACGATTTTGTTACCTATACGGGAGTAGATGACATGCATGAAGATCTTATAATCCACGCTTTTTAAGAACTAAAGAGAGTATGAAACAGAGAAGTAAAGAAGGAAAGAAGAGAGTAACTCACCATTAGCGATCACGTTATGTAAGAGTAGCAGCAGCAACAGCATTCTCAGCAGGCGGCCGGCGACGCATTACGCGACGCGAAACAATGCCGCCAACATCACACGACACTTGTTTGTAAATATCGCGGTAATACACATTCCAGACGCAGAGCTGGATTCAAACCAGTCCTATGAATTTCAAATTGACATATTTCTACTAGTACTAAAAAGCTAGCAATTCATTATCTATAGATTCAGAATTCTATTGATTTTTTCTGCAAAATTACATAAAAAAAATGAAATTCTTCTCTTTCATTCTTAAAGCACGAAGTCGCACATTACATGTTTTAGTTCAATTGCTTATATTGTATAAGCAATATTTACTAAAATATCCAGTTAAATAGAACAGATCCAATATTGGATCCTTGAGGGACACCCTATAAAGACAAAATTGAAATTTGATACACTTCCTGAAAGTTAGAATTTAACAACGAATAAAATTGTCTTTTATCCATAGAATTAAATACTTTATTGAATTAGTACAATTTGGAATGGTTTGAAGAATAGTTTCATAGTTTACTGTATCAAACGCCTTAGATAAATCGGTAAATAAAATTAAACTAATTCAAAGCGAGGTTCTCTAATCGCTTTTGTCAGTCAGATTATTCTTTCTGTAGGCCTATATCGTTTATTTTCAGTCGACCCAAGTCCGGTCCATTTAAAAAACTTACGTTTGCATAAACACTCCTAGTTGTTGCGAAATACGATCTCCCATTGTTGTCGCGTCACGTCGTCGCAATGTACCGTCTGGCGGTCTTCCTGCTGGTGAGCATACAAGGTGAGACTTCCTTTGCTATCCGTAACCTCAACTATAGCGTAAACCTCACTCGTGAACTGTGACGTCATACCGACACGTGCCCATGTTTTGATTGTGCTCTCATAATAAAGATATGTTCGTAGTTCTTTTGTTTGCACCTGAAACAACATTCTTAGTGATGGCTTCAAAATTTTCACCAAAAAAAACATCTCTTAGGAATTATATTACAACTCTATACAAACATCTTAAGAAGCTTAAGAATTCAATAGATGGAAGGTAACTTAGGCTTGCAACTTGAAATGTCCACTTCAGTCTCTAGAGCCAATGGATAAAACGATTTTTAAAAGCGAGATTTTAATTCTATATATATATATCAAATCAATTATTCTAAGTTATTTGGGTGTTTTTCTGTTTATGACGTATGTCATCACATATTTTGGAATCAGCAAACTTATGCGGGCTACGGTGTATCCGAAAAAGTTATGCATCATTGATTGCAACAATGAAGATTGATTTGTTTTGAAAATAAAGTTCTTAAAACTAAATATTGATTTCAGATACAACAACACAAAATACCGAGACTTTCCGTTATCCAGAAACTGGGCCATTGTTCTACCGCAGATCGACACCATATCAATGTACAATATGTGACGCCTACGACTGCCTTAAAATGGACGACGCGAAATGCGAATACAACAGAGCGATCAAAAGAATGCTTCAAGTTGAGTGTCAAGATAAAGTGGTCACCAATCCTGCGATGAAAGCTGAAGTAGACGAGTTGCTATTTGATTTAACCATAAAAGGTCTGTTGGAATAATATGCTAGTTACATCATCTTCTGCCAATATATGTCTACTGCTGGATACTCTTCTAAGAGTAGACACAAATAGCAATCAGTTAGAGTGGAACTGTTGTACGATTGTCCATTGTTTCGCAGCAAATTCAACTGTTTAGTTGCGCAACTAAAATCGAGTAGTGTACACCTCCATATAAGCTTATAGGAATCAAAGCGAGACCAAAGAGTTGTGCGATATTTTAATCAAAGATGTGTACGCGCTGTTAAGATCAGAGCTTTGATCTTATATTCATGGTCGCTGTTTTGCGCATCTCTCAGTTTTCATGCTGAGAAAAATAAACAATTCAGTTAATTTACGTTTCATTAAACAAAAGTCATATAATATAGTAAATTGTATCGTAGAATAGTTAACACTCAGCTTTATTCATTGACCATCCCGCTGCGTAACATTTGATTGTATCTTCAAACAATAGAATATTATCTTAATTCATAAACTGATGTTAGTTCGCAGAGTTACGTGACTATAACATAAAGAGTTACCACGAATATTCGTGAAAATGTTTGCAAACTACCGGGGGTAAGACCACCAACAAATCTATCGATATAACGATAGATTATTTTAGTGGTCTTCTACAAAATATATCGATCACGTTACGAATACGTTCTCGCAAATGTCACGCAATTATTCATGATAGACATCAGGTCTTTTTAAAACTCTTTGTTAATATCTTTTAGGTAGTTAAGTTTGATGAAATGTTTAATGGTATTAAAATTCGAATAGATAATAGTTTGATGGATTTCAGAATCTCGCGCGACCCGTCAATGTGTACCGGACATATCGAGCTACACGAATTGCAACAAACGTAAGAACAGACATATTTTTAATGGTGTTTTATAGCTAGTAAATACTAGCTCTTCCCATGCCATTTTCTCACCCATCACCCTACAACCATTCGTTTTAATTATTAACATTCATTTTGTAGTTCATTAGCTTACCTATTTTGTTGATAAACCCCAATCCAATAAACCATTTTTAAATGAAAATAATCACAGTTTTCTTTATCTAGATAATCTGTGTCTCGGCTGCACGCGGTGCTCTTGCTCTGCTGCAGGCAACTGGGAGTGCAGGAGATGGCAGCAGTGCCGGCAACAGACTCCTCTGGATGTAGACCATCATCTGCTGGTCGAACTCATGGAATACATTGACGACTGTAAGGGCTATTAAACTTTGTATTCTAAAGTAACAAAAGTGGACAAGTTTTAAGATTAACATAAAATTAAAAAAATTAAAAGTATACAAACATAGAAATATAAAAGGCAATAAAGTATCTAATAAATCTGTAAGAAAATATACTGACTCTTTTCAGAGCTGTGTCAAAATATTACTTCAATCTTTTTTTCCAGCCACGAGATATATCAGAGCTAAAAGAAAACGTTCAATACATACAAATGTATTACAGAAGTTAACTGAGAAGGAAGAAAATTTTACATCGCAAGAAATATCTTCAATAATAAACGGATTTAACAACACCAACGTCAAAGAAGCTGAGAGTAATAATGATTTGAATACAGCTGATGTTGAGAGGGATGACGTCACCGATTTTTTTGAATTAATGAGTCAGTTTGATATTAGTTTTTATATGACGAAAATTTGTCTACGAAATTTTTCTCTTTTTCATTCACAATACAGTGTCTTTCTTTGACACAATTTATCAACCGCTTTAAACTAAATGTACTTGTAGCTTACCCAATATTAGAAATTTTAAACATCTTGAATAACTATAAAACACTATTAAAAGTATAATAAAAATAAAAAGTTCGTGTTTAAATTTCAGACGCCACTGAAAAAAATGAATCCCTTGACCAAACAGATTTGGACTTCGATGAATTGTTCCCGGAGTATTATAACTTGAGTATTAAAGATGCAGCTAAACTGCTTCTGCCAATGCTGAAGAATCATTCTGAAGATTTATTGGACGCAGATTATATCGACATCCCTGAAGAGAACGTAACAAAAATGGATAAAGGAAACATTGAAAAGATTTTAGGTACCTTTTTTTTAATTAAACAATAATAATATCATAACACGTAATGAATACGAAATAAAATTTAATGTGGCAATAAAAATTGTGTTAATCTTTTTTCAGATTTTAATTTAGACTCAAATCCGAAAGGAACTCCGGCAACGCGTGAAGTTTACGATCTATTGGAAAGTCAATCGGTGCGTGTTGTAAAAAGACAAATTAATAATATAACCAAAAGTTTACGCAATAAAGTATTATTAGATAATTCTAAACGATCAATACAGGATCTTACAGATAATGTGTTGCATCCACTTTTAAAATTTATTGACACAAAACGCAAGGAACTAACAGAATTAGAGAACATGAGAGAATATTTGCAGGACTATATAAGAATGTACATAAGAAATGAAACGTTTTTAAAAATAAATAAGACTCTATTAGAAAATTTAACAAAGACTTATGTAGCTTTTTACAAAATGGAAATTTTACCGGAAATTCAAAAGACTTCAATTCAAAGTAAACTATTAACTTTAGACGATTACGAAAGTAAATTAGAAAAAGACATTTACGAAGTAATCAATGACATTGTTGGTATACAAGAGCACACAAATTATAAAGATCTACCTGAAAACTTAAACATATTAATTCAAGCTATGAAATATTATATTCATAAACAAGGTAAAGTGCATGTCATGAAAGAGTTTCAGAAAATCAATGAGAATAATATGAACATGTACAAGAAATTTATCGAAGAAAATTCCAATGAATTTGCCGTGTCTACTGCTCCTAGTGTAATAAAACAAATACTGATAGTAATAGACAAAGAAATGCCACGATCTAATGCTTTAGCACCTTTGTCTAGAGGAGCTAAGAGAATATTAAATCGTATTGTAAATTACGATTTTACTGAAAAGTACAATTTTAAAAATCATAGCATACTTAAGCCTCAGTACAATATGGCAAATGAATTAAAAGATGTTGGCATCAAATGGTATAAGATGACGAGAGGCATTGCGTCCTGTCAATTATCAGATCGACTCTATAGCATGAAGTTGCTGCATTTAGAAATATCTAAAGACATCGCCAAAATTAATGATGCTTTGACTTTTATAGAAAATTTAAAGACAAGACGGTTTATGTCATTCGATAAAGACACTAGCGAACGGTACGCCTCAAGAATCGGCGAAGACATTAAAATCGTATACGTTAAAATTCAAGATATTTTAAAACAACAAAACGAGAACAATTTTAGAAAGTCTGTCCCAATGACTGTAACAACACGAAAACCTAAATCGAAAAAGAAATCATTCTTACAACAAGTGAAAAAGATACTGAAAGAATCGAAGAAAGAATTCAGTACGATTTTTAAAAATAATGTCAAAGATGATGCAAACCAAATGCAAAATGTTAAATGGCAAAAGGACGCAAAAGACAATTTAAACAGAATTAAAAGATCGAATACTGCATTCAACAAAGCATTAAGACGTATGAAAAATATAATACCTGATTATTTAAAAAGAAAATTTAACGGGGCTAAAAACTTTAAAGCTGTTACAAAAAAACTGTAAACATATGGTTTTTATTAATAAAAAACGAACAGCGACATCCGGAACATCAAAGGAAGTAGAATAAATTTAATTACAAATAACAAAGATAGTTATAAATAAAACAACAAACATTAACTTAGTATTTTTATTAAATCATACAAAATGTCTATTTACAAAACTCATAAATTCATTTCTTTCAATACATTTAATTGTTTTAACAAGCCTTCTGAAGCTACAAATTTCACGTCGTTTCTTGAATTTTCCACGTTAACATGCGGCATCGGGTAAACAGCATCTTTAACAAAATTAAGGTACTGTGGAGACGACCCTCGTGAAACCAATTTTAGTCCCTTTCCCGTCTACCTTTTTCTTTAAGAGAAAGATGGATGGGAAAGTGGATTTGACGGTGGAGGAGACGCATAAAATGGGGAAATATCCTCTTTATGTGCTTCTCCTCCTCCGTCGGTTAAGGGTAAGCAACGCATCTGCAATTGCGGTTGTCTATGGGCAGCGGTCGCTTCGCCATTTTGGCGGATTTAGGTGGCCGCTTGCTCGTTGGCCACCTTTTTGTATATAAAAAAAAATTACATAAATTCCATTTCCATTCCATTCCATTCTCATCCCTCATCCATACTCCTACCCTCACATAAAACTACGACACATATAAATGCGAAAGTTTAGATGGATGTTTGTTAGAGTTTGTAGCCTAAACTGCTGAACGGATCTCGATGTATTTTGACATGGATGTAGAAGATAGTCTTGAAGAACACATAGACTACTTACTTTTGTTGTTTTGTGATTCCACGCGGAGGAATCACGGGCGAAAGCTAGTTTATAAGACTAGAAATTACCTTTGAAATTATTCTTCGGAATGAATTCATTTGCATCCGTTGCAGTATTTGTTATAAAAACTGAAAATAATTGTTTAGCTAAATTATAATTTCCACTGTCCAATTGAGTTCTGATCCTTTTTGCCAAATTATAATTTATATCTAGATTAGATTTAATTCCTTTTGCTTCTTTAATCCGTATGAACAATTCAACACGATTCTTTATCAACTGGCTTATTATTTGGTTTCTTGTTAATTTAAAAACATTAGAATCATGATCAACATCTTGGATTTTCATTGATTTATAATTCGATTGACCTTTACTACTAAATTTATTCTCAACAGTATGTGAAGACTTCATTGTATCTATAAATTTGTTATTACTCAATACTTTTCCTGTGTTATATTGAACAAATTTTTGTTCTCCAAATCGACCGTGTGTTGGACTTTCTAACACGTTGTCATCTGGATTATGCATCGCTTGCTTGTATATATTTTCTACTCTAAAATTACTGAGATCTTCACGATGTTTTTTCTTATATGTCTTCAGTTTGTCTGATATTCTTTTATTCAAATTAGTACTTAATACTGCGCTATCTACAAATTTCTTAATAACAAACTCCTCGTCTGCAGGCAGTTCAATGTAACTTTTAATAAACGATTTGATAATTTCTAAAGCATTTACAATTTGTAGAGCACTAGCTTGGATTACTTTTAACAATATTAAATGACTTGAAATCGGTACATTTGCTAAACTTACGTATTCTTTATAAGAATTTGATGACATGTCAACGTTTTCTATTATTTGTTTAATCTCGTCGAAAGATTTAAGTTCGCTGTTATAAATTCTTCGTGATTTTTTGCTTTGTTTATTTAAATTTTTTATAACTCTCTCCCATACTTTTGTAGATCCTGGCAAAGTAGAATATTCCTTTCTGCGTGAGACAGAACCTCCTACAAGGTTATTTTTAAGTGATTCAAATAGAAGAGTTATGTTATTTAAATTTGGCATTTTAGTTATGTCCTTAGCTTCACTTTTAGCCGAATTAAACAAATTGTATAAACATGGTAGAATATTTACAATATCTTTATTCTCCTTTAAGAACATTCCGCTTTGATTTTGCAACTCTTTGAGATCATTGAATATTGCACTCATATGTGTTTTTAATTTTTGTTTTGTTAAATTGAATTTTTCGTCTTCGTTTTTGTCAGTGTTTATTTCAAAATTTGCCTCAGTTGTTGTATTTTTTGTTTCTTTCTCCTGTTTTCGTGTATTTTCATTAGAAGAAGGTGATATTAATTCAACAATATCATCCATTGACTTAACGTTTAAAAGTTTAGATATATTATCGTAGGTTTCTCCTTTAATACTTGGCAAATTACTTGTATCTTTTTGTGACATTTCTTGAAATGCACACCTAGGATTCATTTTAAATATATTAAGGTAATCTATTACTAATTTGTCCTTAGACGTTAAATTTAAATTATCACTATTGATCCCCATAATTTGTTTCAATTCTTTTTTAATATCATCTGAGTTTCCGAATAAGTTCATATGCCTTACTTTCGTCGTAATCTTTTTAGCTCTTTTACTCTTTTTAGGTAATAGGAGTTTGGTAATTTTTTCTAAAATATTACCGAATACATTTAATGATTTACTTTCATCTTTACTTAGAATTAAATCTTGTGTGTTATTATCGTTCTGTAGATGCATGCCGTTTCGCAATTTATTTAACTTGTATTCTACATTTTCAAATTTCCTAACTAAATTTAACACATTTTTAATTTTTGATATCGCCTCTACAGGACTATATTCTGTATTATTAACGTGTTCATTTCTAGAATCGTTACTGTTTTTACAATTCGTATGCATTTCTATGACATCTTCCTGATTTCTATTGCTTGAATTACCAAGAATACTCTCCGCAGACGCTAAAGTCTCGCACAATGAAACATTTTTCAATTTCCTATCCTTATCTAAAGCTTTCGAAAGTCTTTCTAAAGCATTTTTAATAAACAATTCTTGTCTCATTGTAAGTGGCTCTTTAAACAGTTCTAATAAATCAGCTAGTTTTTCATGTTTCAATACTTCGGTTTCCATTGATTCGACGCTTGATTCTTTTTCTATTTTCCACAACTTGCTCAATAGATCACCGGCAATGAACGCCATTGCTGTCAAAGTATCATTTTCGGGAGTAAAAGTGATATTTGATACAGGAGCTATTTCCTTATTACCAATTACTTCAGAACCTTTCTTTAGTTCATTAACAACAAGCTGTGACAGATCTTTATCTTTATTTTGTTGTGAATGGTTTCCTATAACTTCGCCTATATTTGGGTTTAGGATTTTAGTTTTTTCTTCATTACGAACTAAAGAATCGATTTTGTTATCAACAATGTGATGATCGAATTCTTTAGGTTGATGAAAATCTATATGTAAATCACTGATGCCGGTAATATTTTTTGTATCCATAACACTTGTTCTTCTCGAGATTTTCGGTACTTTTACACCGTTCACCTGTTTCGCTTGAATTGTACCCGATTCATTAGTGTTCTTTAATGTGTCTGAAAAGTATTTTATATTTAAAATTCTAATAAACATTATTTACAATATAAAATTTTCTTTAAATTACCTTCATTTATTTCATCAACTGTGTTATAAAACTTAACTGTTTTATTTCCATTATCAATGCTTGTATTCTGACTGACGGATCTCTTTACTATCGACACATGTCCTTCGTCCAAATCTTCATAGTTACCTTTACATATAAAAATATTTTCAAGTCTATTACCATATAAAATCAAGTCAACATTGGAGACTTACCTTACTAATGTGCGTACATAAATAAAAAAGTTAATAAAAAAACAAATGTGTTGCAGTGATACTTATATTAAAAAAAAAAGTGCAAAGCAGTGCGTTAAGGTACAGCAATCAAGTAACCTGAAAATAATTCAATTTTTGTCAAAGAGAAGCTTATTAAAGTAAAAATAACGAAGAAGTAGGTTCGGATTGTTTGATTTTTACCTAATAAACGACTTTCCTCATGCTGTTGTTCGGAATCTTTTGGCTCTACTTTACTTCCCATATTAGATAGTTCTGAAACGAAAACTACAATATAAATTACTGCAGTACACGGATTATTACCAACCGTCACCCATCTCTGTCCCCACGTGACGTAAATAAATTTCGTCCGTCCCACCTTCTAGTCCCGCTATGACCAATAATGCGACAGATGGAACCGTTATGCAATAAAATAAGTTTCAACCGTCCCCGCTTCGCAAAAGGTAGGACGAATAAAACTTCTTATTCTCATCTGTTCCCACATGGGGACAAACAGGGTGACGGTTGGGAATAATTCCATTACAGTATTCCAAAGGGAAACTAGGTCGTTCAATTTATACGTTCACATTTAGAGTAGACTGAATGGATTGGGCATTTAAAGGTTGGTTAAACTTCCTGTAACTACGCATCTCTTACCATTAAACAAGACTTCATAGGCATTGCTGATGGTGTCTGCATTTACCACATCCTGATCTCCCGACCCTGGACATTCCTGCACCATTTGGCACTGCCAATTCCCTTCCGCCGAGCACGAGCATTTTGTACAACCAGTGCAAATGTTTGCTGCAATCGGTACATAATTTCAGTGATTCTATCATTTCAATGTAACTAAATAATCAAATCGATTTCGGAGATTCAGGATTATATCCTGTAATTAATTCCCTGATCTTAAATTGTCCATTGGGATTATAGTTTCTATTAGGGAGCACGCCTTTGACTGAACTATCGCACATTTAATCGCGTTTTAATTCCTATGAGCTATGAAAGTGCGCAGATTCTATGTTTAGTTGTGCAACTAAACAGTTGAATTGCCAGCGAAACAATCGACAATCGCACAGTTGTGCGATAGTGGAGACGAAGAAGTGCGCCCGCTCTTTACGCAAGAAAGTAAAATGATTACCTTCAGAACAATCCGTGTATTCTGATAGGAATGGTATACATTCAGTTTCCTCATCTCCCACTGGAATCACAACATTACTTATTATATCTACATCATTTACGGCCGAACATTGAAACGCTATTTGAATATTTACTAGACTCGTAGATAATACAGCCACGCTTAAACAACAAATTCCTTTTAAATTTCGACGACTCTTAGATTGTAAGAGCGCACGAAGCGATCTCAGATTCGTTTCAATATTTTGCCGCTATATTGTCAACTATTGTTTCATTAATTTGAAGCGGTAATACAATTTGTTGGAAATATTACTTACATCTTTAGTTAATGTTTTAAACTGTATGTTCTTACCTTTTGATGACTGATTATTCTGTATCTAGTATTTTTGATTAATTATTCATTTTTAAATGTAATCTAAGTTAGTACTCTGTTATATCTTAACTTTTTTTACTATAGGATTATATTAGGGGGGTTTTCTCATGATTATTAGGTGACTTATAAAATACTTTGTCTCATTAGATAATAATTTAACTTAAGACAAGATAGAAGTACTTAGATTATTAAATAGTCTGTGAGTAACACAAAAACATGTGGAAAAAGTGTATTCTGGTGCAGCTGATAGAAATTTGTGCTTTGTGTTTAAAACGTGCGATTCAGTGCAAAAGTTTCTGATCAAATATTTATTCCCCAAGAATAAAATCACTAAGCCGTTCACAATCAAACAAATCACGTAAAACATAACAAATTATTTTATTAACAAAACACGTATGATTCTATTACAAAAATAACACAAAAACACTGAACATACAACACTTATAATATTCCATATCATTAACATTTGCACAAATCTTCTTTGATTCTTTTATATAAACACATTTTCTTCCTTAACAACAACTCATCTGTCAACATTATCTTCATTATGTTACTTGTCGTTGTTGACAACAAAATCTACATAATCTCCTGTAGGACTTCCAGCTAAT